TTCATAAAAGTTTGCAGTTATTTAAAGCAAGTTTGGCATATGGGGTTACAATCAGTAATGTGTGCAGATACGTTTTATGTGGGGCACGTATTTTAATACAATTATTAGGCTGCTAGCCTAACAATGACTACGGATCTTGGTATTGGGAATTTATATATATGCATGATTAGCACTTAAGATGTCTTTTAAACTCTTTCAGTATTTTTCTGCATTCCCACGATGGGCAGCTATTCTAACAACTTACTCAGGACTTAGGTCCGTTCACTCGAGTTTTCTACTTAACAGTCACCCTACGCCAGGGTCCTCATATGTGTTTTCTGTATTTTAGGTATAGGCATCCTTGCTCTTTGTTAATTGGTGCCCAGCCCTCTGCTAGGGCAATATTGCTGGTAGGTATCTGAATAACAGGGGACTTAGGGGTTATATTTCTGTGCCCGTACAAATATATATTACTTTCGTAGGTGACTACAGATCGTCTGTACCTCCTTTTCCTCATTATAGCTGTCAACCCGCTCATCAGGTACGTCATATCTTTTTCGACTATTTTCCCATACCTTCCCTTTCGGCTTAGTACAGATTTACTGGCTTACAATAAATAGGACCCACTAGCTACGTTTTCTGGCCTCTTATGCCTTCGTTAGTGGTCCCGCGAGGCCAACACCCATCCTCATTTCGGAGGTACGGCATTCCCTCGGGCCATTCATAGCTAGCCGCCTCGCTTAGTTGCATAGAGAGGGCCTCACTTGTCACTCCCATTCTGTCTTATGCCTTTACAAGTCACAGAGAGGCCACCACCCTGCCATAATGCCAATGGCCACGTACTCCACACGCGCCAAATCATAGATAGTGCCTCTCAAGGCCGCTTGGCTACTAGCAGGGCCTCACCTGTCACGTTACTTAATAATTCTTCGCCGCTTGGCATTAGTTATCATAAGCCAGTTGGATAGCACCCCAGGTAACATGTCATTTTTATGTTATAGCATGTCCCAAGTTCCGGAAGGAAGGGAAGTTGAGTCCTTACCCAGTACACCAACTAGATCAGTCACTCCGTCTCGGGGTGACGACATCGCAAGCCCTGCCTCACTCAGGGCATGGACTGTTCCCAGGATCACGGCCGAATTAAGGAAGAGAAATATTCCTTTCCCTGCTACAGCTAGGAAAGCAGAACTGTACAGATTGCTGAACACACAGACTGATAACGCGGGGGCGGGTGAAGGGTCCAGTGGCACCCAATCTTCAGATCTGAATACGATTCTGTCCTCAGTCCTGACCTCTTTGGGTCGTATTACTGACAAACTAGACAAAATGGATGCAGAAAGCCAGCAAAAGTCGCTGGCTGCTGCAGTGGATCCGGCCGTTTCGGTCCATTTGGACCCCCTACCGGGTAATTTACAAAATAGGTTAAAAGACCCTGCACACATGGTGCCTGCTAAAACAAAGAAGGACATCTTGGAAGGGAAAGATATCAATTTGGTATCACTTTTGATAGCCTCACAAGATGTCCTAGAGAATAAGACCTATGCATACGGTGATGTGTCAGTGGTATTGAAGTCCAGAGACCCCAGGTTGAATCAGAAGCTATCAATTCCAGAATTTGTACTAGCTTTCGGTATATACAGAGATGTAATATGCTCGGAATACCCGGATAGGAGGGAGGAATTGGACCTGTATCTCCACAAGCTGATGGATTTGGGGCATAAGTACGGGGGTACGTCTTTTTACGACTACCACCGTGCCTTTTCCGCGAAGGCGTCGGCAGCCCTTTCACAGTTCAATTACCAAACGGATTGGGGCATCCTGGATACAGAGCTTTTTTGCCGGCACTTCGCGGGCCTAAAAACCCCAGCTTGTGCCATTTGCTCGTCCAATTCCCACACGGCTAATCTGTGCCCTAATTCTCCAGAGGTAAACGCTGTTTTTCCACCTCCTAATGTAGTACCCACAGGGAGACCTGGCAGGGTGCTTAAAGATAAACTAGGCCGTGACATAGTGTTTTTGGGTAAATCGCAGGTCTGTAACAATTTCAACTCAGGTTCCTGCGGTTACAGTGCCTGCAGACTTCTCCATGTTTGCTCACTATGTTTCAGAGCTCACTCCAAGGCAATGTGCCCAAATAAACTATATCCTAAGCAGTACTTATCGTCTCTTCATGTCTCCCTACTGAAACAACTTTTGCGTGATCACCCTTCCCAACATCTCATCGATTTTTTGGTGACAGGGTTTAAGATGGGGTTTCACACAGGTATTATTCACATGCCCACGGGGATCCTAGAATGTAATAATTTGCAGACAGCCTTGGCAGCACCCAACACTATTGACTTACTCCTACAGAAGGAAATTGACCAAGGTTTCTTATTAGGCCCTTTCAACCCCCCGCCTTTTGCAGTTTGGAGGACAAACCCCATAGGACTGGTCACCAATAAATCCTCCAATAAACAAAGATTAATTCTCGATCTGTCCGCCCCCCATGCATCTCATACCCCAAGTCTAAATTCACTAATCCCGTCTGAGGAGTTTTCCCTCCAGTATGCCACCATAGATAATGCAGTCACAGCCATACTCTCAGCAGGGGTAGGGGCATGGCTGAGTAAAACTGATATTGCCAACGCTTTTAAGCTGCTCCCTATCCACCCATCCCTATGGCATTTACATGGTGTTAAGTGGCAAAGTTCATATTACTTCTTCACGCGTCTCACGTTTGGCTCTAAAAGCAGCCCCAGGATTTTCGATATCTTCGCTGAGACGTTGTGCTGGATGCTGCTTAACATCTGTAAATGTCCCACAGTTATCCATTACCTGGACGATTTCCTGACCAGTACCTCCCAGTAGCCTCCAATCTATCACACAACTGTTTACACAACTGGGAGTGCCTATTTCACCTACTAAGACTGAGGGTCCAGATACTATCATCCACTTCTTGGGGGTGGTACTGGACTCTGTACACATGCAAGCTAGCCTACCCAGGGAAAAGATTGAGCGCATCTTGGCAGCTATCGACCTTTACTTAGGAGGAGTCTCATGTAATAGGAAGGAGTTGCAATCATTGTTGGGTTCTCTAAATTTCGCTATGAGAATCATTCCACAAGGTAGAGCATTCATTTCAAGGTTACTTAGCCTGTTTCCAATGTTGCAATCTGACACCTCCCGCATTACTTTAGACGTACAGGCCACCGCTGATCTACATATGTGGAGAGAGTTTTTGCAAAATTGGAACGGGAAAAGCATGTTTATACCGGTTTGGTCAGAGAAGTCGGAGTCAGTCTGGACGGATGCCGCAGCCACATCAGGTTTTGCAGCAATATGGGGCAATGAATGGATGTGGGGAGAATGGCCTAGGGAAATTACAGAGATCCCCGGTTTAAGGACACTTCAGCCTTGTTTGAGCTCTATCCTATCTTAGCGGCAGCAGTTAAGTGGGGAGCGAGTTGGTCCGGGAATACGGTTCGTTGCTTCTCGGACAATATGGCAACATGCCATATTGTAAACAAGGGGCGTTCCTCTTCCCTCACCATCATGCGTTTCATGAGGACTCTCACATGGCTCGCTGCAAAACACAGTTTTCTTCTCACTTGTGTTCATGTGCCTGGGGTTCTCAACGTTGCAGCTGATCATTTGTCACGGTCTCGGTTTCAGGAGTTTCGGGAGGCCCTGCCAACAGCTACCCTGATACCAACTCCAGTTCCAAAGTGGCAGGAAATGGTCTGGGACTAAAAGTTCTGCTATGTCAAGGGCGACAACTCTCACAGCTCGGTCTCTCCGATAATACCAGGAAGGCATATGAAAGGGCTTTCCATGTTTTCAATAAATTCTTGTTGGACTTTAATGTCACTGACCAGTTTTCTATGGAAACCATTATTGCTTTTATTTCTTTTTGCCACTTTCATCTAACATTATCTTACAATACCATCAAATTGTATATCACAGGCATTCAGCATCACATCCTCACCACTTGGCCTAACAAACAACGCTTTCTGTCGTCCTACCAAGTTAAGGCTATACTTAAAGGCATCAAAGACTCCGCCCCTATAGCCTCACCAACTAGACTACCCATACACGATGTATTGTTTCAGTCATTGTCAAAACTACTAGACACCTCACCATTTGAAGCCCATACTAATCGTGTGATTAAAGCCGCCATCTATTTAGCATTTTACGTTTTTTTACGGCCCAGAGAATTCACTACTACTAGCTATAATTCACCCATTTTCCTCACAAGGTCCGATCTGATAAAGGTCCAAGATCACTATCTTCTGTTACTGCACCATACCAAAACGAGCGCCCCCGGGCAAACGGTCACTATACCCTATTACCCCACAAGTAATACTTGGTGCCCGGTGAAGGTTTTCAACACCCTTCTTGCCTTTGACAATATGGTTCCAACACAACCACTCCTGTCCTTACACGGTAATAAGCTCACTACGAGCCAATTCATGATGTATATTAGGAGATTGTTAGTCCGGTTAGGACTGAACCCAGCCAGCTACTGTGGTCACTCTTTTAGAATAGGAGCCGCCACCACCGCTTCTAAAAAGAATATCCCTGCTCACATTATTAAGATACTAGGACGATGGAAATCTACGGCATACACCAGATACATCCCTCAGCCCATACAAGAAGTACGCCTGGCTTTCAAAACTATGAATATGTAATCTGTTATGTCCGGTTGTAGGACGAATAAATGGTTATCTCTTTTTGCCCTCTTTTATTTCAGACCTACTTCCTCGTCAGTTCCGGCACACCACAACTGACATTTCCTTTCATGGTTTGTCCTATTTATATAAGTTATACTACGGCTTATGCCCTGACCACAAATGGAAGGCGTGGCCTGAAGTTGTGGGAAGGGCTGGGTTACCCTTCTTAAGGGACTCCAGACCCTTCCCTCACTACCTGTTAGGTTCGACGGATTGTCCCACCCACCACACCGCTCTCATAAGCATTTTATAAGGTAGGCCCTCTTTTATTTCAGGCCTACTTCCTCGTCAGTTCCGGCACACCACAACTGACATTTCCTTTCATGGTTTGTCCTATTTCTATAAGTTATACTACGGCTTATGCCCTGACCACAAATATATATATGTATATATATATATTGGGGTAGCCCCCAAAATATTGGGACAAATAAAAAAGACAACTCTGTTCCGCAGAGTAGCTGTTGACATTATAGTTTCTCAGGCACTTTGTTGACTCTAGAGAACCTCGGGCCAATCGCACATCCCCGTGACGGCGACTTGCATTTGGATGTCATCCATATCAACTTTCGATGCCAGTTTCTGCGCCTACCATGGTGACCACGGGTAACGGGGCATCAGAGTTCTATTCCGTACAGGGACCCTGACAAATGGCTACCACATGCAAGGAAGGCAGCAGGCGTGCAAATGACCTCCTCCTGACGCGGGACTCTTTAGAGGCCCTGTAATTGTAATGAGTCCACTTGAAATCCTTTAACTCTGATCAATTGGAGGGAAGTCTGTTGCAGAGCCACTGACCCGTGCATGCTGCACCTGAAACTCCACTATCGCCTGCTGCTGCTCACACAGTCTCATGAGGCGGTGAGCAGCAATGCCGAAGTTACGCTGCAGCGCAGACAGGCGAGCAGCAGCAGGGTGAGAATGCCAAAAGTGCGCACAGCCACTACAATGAATGTTATATCCTGTTCCAAGTTGCAGATCAGTCTGGTGATGGCTTCTGGTATCCAGTACTCTTTTTACTGAATCTGCATCAGGGTCCTGGTATGGGGCCGCACAAACGATGGTGCTCAACACCAGGGGGCGTGCGGTTACCCTGCACCAGACCCTGCTAATCCATTCCACACTGTGACTCCTAACTTCAAAATCGGGCATACTGGGTCCCGGTCGTCTGACTGCCGCCCAGACAGTGTCTGGGTCCTGGTCACCGGACTGCCCATCTGACTGTGAAACTAAGAATGGATCGTTAAATCTGGTACGAACCCGAACTTTGCAGTTCGGGTTCGCTGAACTCTATTATGGATGCTTTGATTGCTACATGTATTACTTGGATAACTGGTAATTCTCGAGATAATACATGCCAACGAGGGCTAGGGGACGGCCGCTCTGCTTTTGCACCCTGCTCCCTCTAATGCTGTGCTGGTGCCTCTGTGCGACCAGCGCCTCTTCCTCCAAATTGCACACGTCACTTGCATGACCTTGATTCCATGTGGGGTCTAGGACATCATCATCCTCCACATCATCTTCCACCCACTCCTCAACCCTGCCCTCCTTGCCGGTATGCACACTGCAGAAAGCCACAGCAGTTGGCACCTGTGTTTTTCCAGCATGTAAAGTCTGCAAAGGACATATGGAAATTGTTTTAGAATTGTATCCAGGCAACAGTTTTCCCTATAAACTGACCTCTCAGTTTGACTTGTGAGGATATTGCCCCAGAATTACAATATTGTAAGTAAGTACTGGTTTAAATCTAGCAGTTTATCTGGTAGTTTCTAGTGTAGAAAATATCAATCTGTTTTCTATCACTTAGATCGGTGTAACAAGTGTTGTTTTGGTGTTTAACTTTGTAGTTGTGTCTTTACACAATATAGAATTGTATATTAATGCTTCTGTATATGAAGCTATCACAATAACACTTTAAAAAAAAAAAAAACACAAAAATTGGTAATTCACAATATGACATCTGAAAAGCACATGAAAGAATGCTGTATGATTTTAAAAAAAGAACACACTACATAAAATAATAATAATAATAATAATAATAATACATGAAGGTCCTGTTCACTAGAGTGTGTAGTCATGAATGTAACCAGTAAAACTTTGTTTTTACAGCCACTGGTTGGCCCATACATATTTTGAAACCTGTTTAATTTTGTTGTAGCATGACTTGTAGATATGAAGAGCAAGCCCCAAAATGTTCTATTTAGCAGATTAGCACCCAGAAAATAATAATGCTTACCACTGTGCTGTAAGCACACTATTAGACGCTTCAGTTTGACTCTCAGATATGAAGTGCACCCCACTAAAATACTATTTAGCAGTTTAGCACCAAAAAAATTGTAAGTTTTAAAACTGCAATGTGACAGCAGTATTTGACGATTCTATTTGACTCTCAGATATGAAGTGCACCCCACTAATGTACTATCCCACTAATGTACTATCTAGCACCAAAAAAATTGACTTTTTAAAACTCTGATGTAACCGTGGTATTTGAAGCTTCTATTTGACTATCAGATATGAAGTGCACCCCACTAATGTACTAGTTTGCAGAATTCTTTCCTAAGCTGTCCTTATCAGCGGCAGCATCCTCTCCCTACACTAATAAGACCTCATGTGAGTGCGGCGCTACGCGACTCCTGCTTATATATAGAGGCTGGGTCACATGCTGCACTGGCCAATCACATCCATGCCATTAGTAGGCATGGCTGTGATGGCTTCTAAGGGCACACGAGTCAAATGCTTGTTGATTGGCTGCCCTGCAGCCTTTTAAAACTCACCATTAAATCACCGAACTCCAACCCGAACATACAGTGATATGTCCGTGTTAGGGTCCGGGGTCCAAAAACCGTAATGTTCGGTACGAACCAGAACTTTACAGTTCGGGTTCGCTCAACTCTAGTGTTAGGCTAGCTAGGGGTTAAGGTCATAAAAAGTTGTAAAAATGTTTTAATATTTTTTTTTTTTTAAAAGTAAAAAAAAATCCCACCCTCCTTAACCCAGTCCTAATAAAAATTAACCCCTTCCCTGCCAGTTGATCACTACCTACAGTGATCAAAATACAGATCACAGTATTATACTGTGATCCGATGTTTATTTTTTTTAACCTCTTAGGGTTAACGTATTTTTTTTTTAACCCTCAGGGGTTCAATTTATTTAATTAATTTAAATATTTTAAAATGATATATTTTGCTAGCTGGGGTAGGTGGGAGTTATGAAAATTTGGGGAATTTACCGTTAGTGCTACTTACTGCTAGTTAGGGGTTAAAGGTAAGAAAAAAGCATATACAAATGTTAAATCCGTAAAAAAAAAAAAAAAAATAAGAAAGTTTAGGAAAGTTTAAGCAAAAAAATTGTTTAAAACCTAGTTTTAAAAAGTCAAAAAATTTAAAAAAAAGTAAAAAAAATACATTTAAAAATGCTCATTACACTACACCTAGAACAAACTAGAGAAAAAAATTATACCATGCTAAGGTTCAAAATACGCCTTTTGAATTACCCTAGGGTGTATTCTTTAATAAATAGTATGTGTTTGTGGGGAAGTTTCAATAACTAACCACCTAAACTATTCCAAAATGGAACATGGACACAGCGTAAAACTTTAAAGTTAGAAAAAAAACTGAATGGCTGCGTCTCAAATGTGCCCCTTCAACATCCACATATACCTGGCAAAGGTACATACAGGGGTATTGCTGTACTCAGCTGAGCAACGTATGAAGAAGTATACAGTCGTAGCACACATACGATTTGCAAAATATACTGTGCAAACTCATTTTGTGTGTCAAAAAGGCAGAAAAAACGCTTATTAGTTATTGAAACTTCCCCACAAACACATATTACACTTGGTGTAAGCTAGCGGAAAAATGATCCCACGCTAAGGTTCAAAATATTCCATTTGAAATAACCTGGGATGTCTTCTTTAAGAAATGGTATGGCTTTATGGTGTAGTTGGATTATATAGCCTGGTTAAATACTCTAAAATGGGACATGGCCATAGCGTAAAAACTTAAAGTTTGAAAAAAACTGGAATGGCTGTGTCCCAAATGTGCCCCTCCGATATCCACATATACCTGGCAAAGGTACATATGAGGGTATTGCTGTACTCAGCCATCATAGCTGAGCAACATATGAAGTATTATACAGTTGTAGCACAAATACGATTTGCAAAATATACTGTGCAAACTCACTTTGTGTGTCAAAAAGGCAGAAAAAAACGCTTATTACCACTACACTTGGAACAAAAATTATCCCACGCTAAGGTTCAAAATATGCCTTTTGAAATACCCTGTGATATCTTCTTTAAGAAATGGTATGCCTTTATGTTGCAGTTGTAATATGTAGCCTGCTCAAGTGCTCCAAAGAAAATTCGCATTTAAAAACTTGAACTTGTCACGCCTCTTTTACAGCACTGTAACTTCACAAAATAGTGTCTAGGTCATACATTGGGCATATTGTTTTACTGTATATACTCGAGTATAAGCCGAGTTTTTCGGCACATTTTTTTGTGCTGGAAAACCCCTACTCAGCTTATACTCGAGTCAGTTTTTATTATGGCAACTTACATTGCCATAATACAGACCAGGACGGCAGGGCTCATTACAAGCCCGGCGGTCCTGATGGGGGCTGACAGTGAGCTGTTACTTACCTTCCTGCAGCTCCTGTCAGCTCTCTTCTCCTCCGTGCAGCTCCCCGGTCAGCTCCGTTCTGCTTACAGTGTAAGTCTCGCGAGACTTACACTGTAAGCAGAACGGAGCTGAGAGAGGAGCTGCACGGAGGAGAAGGGAGCTGACAGGAGCTACACGAAGGTAAGTAACAGCTCACTGTCAGCCCCCCCACTGAACAGCCAATGCCACTGGACCACCAGGGATTTAATATTATTAAAATAATATAATATTAAAACAATATTATTTTATTATTATATTATTATTATTTTAATATTATATTATTTTAATAATATTATTTTATTATATTATTATTATTTTAATATTTGCATTATTTTTTTTAAATGTTTTTTTGTCCCTCCTTCCTGACCAGGCAACAAGCAGGCAGGGGGGACAAAAAATTAAAATAAAAAAAAATGCAAATATTAAAATAATATAATATTAAAATAATAATAATATAATAATAAAATAATATTAAAATAAAAAATAAAAGGAAACAATTAAAATAAAAATGCCCTTCTCTCACCCAGTTTACACACACTGCACAAACACACACACTGCATTATATATACACTGCATTCATTATATACACACACACAACACACAAACGCACACACTGCATTCATTATATATACACACACAAACACACACTCTGCATTCATTCTATACACACACTGTAAATAGATATTCAATTAATGTAATTTTATTGGGATCTAATTTTATTTAGAAATTTACCAGTAGCTGCTGCATTTCCCACCCTAGGCTTATACTCGAGTCAATAAGTTTTCCCAGTTTTTTGTGATAAAATTAGGGGCCTCGGCTTATATTCGGGTCGGCTTATACCCGAGTATATACAGTACTTAGAAGATGTAATTGAGCATAATTTGGGGATTTTTTGACAGTGGTACATATTAAGTGTAAGAGAGCCAAAATGCTACATATATGTAAAAATGCCACCCCCCCCCACCCCCCCACTCACCACAAACATTGACATGAATTAGTGAAAAAATGATGACAGGTTAAGGCACAATATACACCATATAAGATACCCTGGGGTGTCTGCTTTCTCAAATGAAAGCCCTTTGTGGGGTTATTTGAACATTCACACTGCTATAATATCCTAAAATGACACATAGGCCTGTCAAATCCATCTATGAAAATTCTAACTATA